GGTAAGTATCAAGGGGTTGAATCAAACACCCAGACAACCCCAGAGGGAAGGTTCTGGAAAACATCCGAGTAAACCGGATATATGGACGATATAGCATTTCTTCCCAGGATTTTCAAGGATTTCACACATGGTTTCACCCCCAAACCACTACCCCCAGAGGTTTAAAGGGATATATATATATATATATCATGGGGGGGGGGGTGACCATATATATATATATATACACACTACATCGCTACTGTATAAAGGGCATATACTCGGATGTTTGTTGGGGGCAGCGGTTTGGGGGCAGTGGACCTGGAGGGATTTCTGTGGGTTTCCCATCTGGTCGGGTGCACACAAGTCAGCAGCGCCATAATCCCTGACAATACAAAGTAGTAAAGGGGGGTGTCCTATAGAATCCCCGCGAAAGTTAAAACGCAGGCCGCGAAAGCTTGCGAAAGCTTATCGCGAAAGTAACCAAAGAAGGTCCCGCCGCGAAAGAACCGCGAAAGCCTGCATGCTGTGTGACGGTCCGCCGCGAAAGCGTCGCGAAAGCAATTCTAAAGAAACCAAAGCCCGCGAAAGCAAAACATGGGGTCGCGAAAGCATCGCGAAAGGGTCCGCGAAAGCAAGTTTATAGGAACGCTTTTTACACAAGAGTATTTGGCACGGCTCAAGTGGCCCCAGCAATCCGAGAAGGCGGGCGCGAGGGAAGCAATGGAGCGACCCGAGAGCAAAAAACCGGCAGGCCTTGGTGCAATCTTGGCAGACCAGGCAGTTGACGGAGAATGTGGACACTCGGCTGCACGACTTGGCACATGCAAAAGGCTAGGATTCAATGGGTATGCGTCAGCAATCAACGTTAGGCACTTCTCCAAAAATTTTTTTGGAAGTGCGAAATAGGCACCCTCTTTGCTCAATCATGGAAGCTGGCAGGCTTTGGCTACATCTTTTTTGAGGTCCCTGTCCACTTCCATAATTGGAAAGAGGGCATGCATCAGAAGTCAACCTTAGCTGCTGCTGTAATCATGTCCATCTAGTTCTCTCTGCCAAGCAGTGGTTGCCCTGTTCAGGAAGCTGCTTTGGCCACTGCATGCAGCCGCCAACCAAAAACTCCTGGTCACCACTTCGAGAACAGCTTTTTCTACTGGGTTTAGCAAGGGGGTTAAGAGTGAGGCTCTGTCTAAACGTTAATGACTGGGGTCTCCTCCAAAAGTATGCTATTTTTAAGCTTGACAATAACATGATCAGAACATACCGTTTTCTGCGCAGATGGCCAAGTCTTGGTACCCAAAGTCCAGTTGGAGCTGCCCACATGGCCCTGAATTGGAGCGAGGATGACTAGTTCTGTGACAAATCCTACTGAACAAAAACATGTGTTTTGTGTGCGTGTTTGTTTTTGAGGGCTCCCTGTTGTGCCAAAAAAGAGAATGCTTTTCTGAGGCTCCGATTCTTGACTTTGACACATACGTTGCTCACTGATACCCTGGTCAGCGCCAAACCTAAGCCGTTGCTGGATGTTTGGGGTATTTCTTGGTGTTGCCCCTGAACATGGCAGTTGATTTACACACATATCACACATACACGTAGTATGGTTATATGTTTCATCATATCATGCCATATTATGATTCCATCTATCTCTAATTTGGTATGCTTGCAGGCGCAGTATATTAAAGCACGTGTGATACACAATACCTGCAACGTTTCCGCCGAGCTAGTATTGTACACTTGCCTGGTTTGTAACGATCTCACCTGGGGTCAAAGCGAGCTCACCAGGTCCTTTACTTGGGGGATCCCTTTATTTCAGGTCTTGACATTTTGCAGAAGTTGCCGATTTGATCCATGTGGCTTGAGACATACAAAGAGTACAATCCTACATGACTAAATTTAATGGCTTTACAGCTCCATCCCCCCCTTCTTCCCCCCCCCACACACACACACACACCCCACACCCCCCCTGCCCTCCCCCCCACCCGCCACCCCCGCCCCCCCTGCTTCCAATGATTTTGCCCCTTGAACCACCGGTAGACACCGAAGGACGCCATCACCGCTTCCTTGATCCAAAGCCTCGGAGCGGCTTCCTCGGACGCTGCGGCCCTGCAGCTGTGCCTGGAGGAGCGACGTTCGAGAGGGAGTCGCGCCTAGTACCAGGGAATTGGTCAAAGAGGGGTCCCAGGATTCATCAATCCTTGGTTGCACGTTCCTAGTGTCCCTTTCAAAGGGGGGTTTTTCGGTTCTCCCTTTTTGGAGGGTCAGCTGCCAAAAGCAAGATCCGCTTTAGCCCGTCCGGGCTCAAAGACCCCTCGGCTCAGGTGCAGAACCTCGTGGAACCTCGTGGGACCCTAGTGCAACCCTGGTGCAACCCTGCTGGAACCCTCGTGGAACCTTACCTCCAGGCCACCCCGGAGCCTATCTGGGCTGAGACCCCAAAGCTTTCAGTTGTTGGGGAACTACTAAACCAGTCCACTCTCATCTTCACCTCACCTCCTATTCTCATCTTAAATCCGCTCAAATTTCCACCCGACTAGACGTTCAGCAGGTCCAGCAGGTTTCTCCTTGGGAATGTGGTCATGAGGAAGCGTTTGGAGTGGCAAGTGCTGGTTGCTTTCGCTCCCACCGTGACACATCAAGGGATAAAGGACGGCTTCCAAGCTCGAAAGAATGGGACTTCAAGTTAGCGCACAACCAAAAGCCATGGAAGACGAAGCCAACGGCCCCTCTGTAAGAGAAGCCTTTAATTTGGTGTTTCTTATTGCTTGCGGGAATTGCATCTGGCTGGGAGGTAAGGCATGAACAAACGAACATCTGGTGCTTTCCACATCTTTGGGCTTGTCTCACTGAACGCACTTGCTGTCAGCACGCATGCAGCAAAACAAAGCAGGCCAGGCCACTCTGCAATGAATTTCTGTGACTTGGGTCAAATTCACTTGCCAACTGCAAATCCGCTGACCTTTTGCTGTCCGAGTTTGACTCATATTTAGTCAAGGCGCCAACAGGCTGCCTGCTTCTTTTAAAGTGGTTTGGGCCGGTCAGGACATCATTCAACACCTAGATGTTTGACAGAATGTAGCCCAACATACATCCCCAACGAAAGTGTAGACTTTGCCTTTGGTTGCATCTCCCGCCAAGTTTGCTGGGGCCTGGCTCCCTCAGCAAAAGTCACGCAGTTTGTCACTGTTTCCCACCTGTAAGTGGTCTTGAACGCCCGATTCCCCGACGTGTCTTCCCAAAGCGTTGTCGAGCACCCTCTCAGGTAGGTCCTGCCTCGTTTTTCAGCACTCTTTTTGCCTTTGTCCGATTCATTCCGCCACTGGTTCCATGTTCTTTCTTATTTCCTCAAAACCCTTCCCAAACAAGTCCCACAACACGCAGCCTCACCTCCAGGAGGCATGCCAGATGCGAACCTCTTTACCCGGGTGGTGTTTGAATCAGTCAGCGGCGCCTCGCGCTGGAACTCTGAAATTAAGTTGTTGTTTTTTTTGGTGCGGGGGAGTCGTTTTTTGCTTTGAACCAGTCATTATTTAAGGTAATTTGTTGAGGCAGTCATTTTGAACACGCCAAAACCTGGCGCTTCCTGTTCATTCAGCTTTGGGCCTGGAGAAGTCAGGGGATTCCTGGACAGGGTGTGGTCCATAAGGGCGCCTTTCAGTTCTGGAAAAAAGGAGCTTATCCAGTTCGCTTGTCGAGCGGGCCCAATGGTTTGACCAATATTGGCTGCCACTGGCATGCGATTGGCATTGGCTGCCGCTAGCGTTCCTTGGAGCTTTCCGTGTGGCTTACTTGTGGTTTCTGTTTGATGCGACGTACTGGCAAGGCGCTATGCCCAACCCTAGCTTTGCACGGATGGCCGAAGATACGAACCAGATCCTCGGCGCGTTGTCTCATGGCCTCGGCTCAGCATCTCTCAACGCCATGTTGGTTTGTCTAAAAGGGCACCTAGCTCCCAGGTCCTAACAAAGTTGGGAGGCGCAAGATGGCACAACGCGAGACCAGCCTGCCCTGGAGGGGACGATGATCCCGACAAGAAGTAATCGTGGTATTTTGGTATTTGCTTGTTTTCTTGTATGTCCTGTTGCTCGGACCGGTTAGTTTGTTGAAAGGAGTTACACGCAGATGGGAAACGGGATTGCCGATCGACTGAACCAACAAAAACCCTCCCTGATGTCACGTGGATCCCAGTTGCCCCCACCAATGGCCAGTTGGTGGGTTGACGAATTAAGGGGTTTGCTCGGCCCCTTTTTGAAGAAGGCAGTTCAACGTCAACAAAAAGTTGCCAATAGCAATATTCTTCCTAAGTGGAGGATCCCGCTGATACAATGTAAATGAGGGTTTTTCTTCATATAAACTGCAATCGTGTAGTTCCATGTTGTTTGCCAGGGACCAGCATAGTGTCCATGCGCTCCGAAAGTCCTTTGCATATGACCCGCTTGGGTGAATCTAAGGTTGGTAGGGCTGGAATGCAGCTCTTGGCCGAGTTGAAGAAAGGAGAAGGCCGGGGAAGGTTGACGAAACTTCGCACTCCTGTGCTGCCGCTGTTCAAGTCTAAAGTGACATCAGACCGTACCTGCAAAGATGTCCGTTCAAACGACCAAACGGGGGGGTTCTTCATTTAACTGCTTGGGACGGCTCTGAAAAATCATACAAAGGGAGACAACACGGTGACTTGCTAGCATATATCGACACTGTGCAATGGAGGCGTCTGATGAAGGCCCGCTTTGAGTTCGCACTCTTTGAAAGACCCAACGCGCTTTCGGGACCAGGGTTTTGCCGGCATGTCTTCGCGAAGCTTCCATCAAAATCGCAGCCCGTGGGCCCGTAGGCGACCTCTCCATCTTGGACAGCTGGCAGGCGTGCGGCCGGCCCTCGCGAGCATTTTGCCAGGTTTCTGGGCATAACATGTTGAGTCCCTATGCGACTCCCTGGGCTCTTGTCACCTGCAAACGCGTTGCATCAAAAGCCTCAGATATACAGCAAGTATTGAGCAAGCGCAGAGAAAGCGAAGAACCGGGGTTTCAAGCAACACAAATCTATGCAGGTACAATACATGTTCCTGGGAGAAACTGTGCAGGCTGCTTGCCTGTATGTGCCAACTGCTGTCCTCGTGCAAGTTCATGACCGGTTTCGCTTCAGTTGTAGCAATCTTTTGACTGACTTGGTTGAGAAACTAATTCAACTAGCAAGACTTACAATCGTCCTAAGGAAGCAAAGATAGCAAAGGCGTCAACTTCCGCCAATGATAAATGCCCAGCGCACACGCCAGCCATTCCAGTGGTTATGGTTGATTCTCTCCCATTGTCTTGTCAGGGACCATCATACACTCGATTTGAAGATGGGGAGCAACGCCCGATAGATTGAGAAACTTTGGCTCTCGAGGTGTTTCTTTTGAAAGATGTTTTCCCTTCGACATGAATGCCCACAAATTTGGGCGGTGTCGTTTTATTGCCTGGCCGCCGGAGATGTCGGGGGAACAAGGAACGCGCTCAAGTGCTTGAAGTGTGTTGCTCATTTTTGGACGTGGTTGGCAGTGATCGGTTTTGCTTTGGGAGAAATGTGAGCGTTGTGTGGCTGCATGATGACAGTGCGTTGGCAGAGGATCCTTATTGTATGGCTTGAACACGTCGACCATTGCAGACACACATCTTGCCTGACCGGAGAATCTCATGCGTGTGTATCTCTGTGTGTGTGTATTCAAGGGACCTGCAGGTAAGGCAACCATGGGTTTCTGAAGTCAGGAGACGCCTTCATGTTTCTTTTCGCTTTGACCTTTGCCTTTTGACCTTCTGGGAACTGCTTCCCCAGAAAGTAATAAAGAGCTGCACTTAAAAACCGACCCGCCGAAAGGGGACCAGAATATGCTTTTTGGCTGATCCTTGAAGAGATATTCCAGCCGTTTCTGGGCCCAATTTGTATCTAGTAACTAGGTGTTGTCTTGCGACCCCCTTTGGAAAATAAAAACCGGCGGCCCCTCACAAATATTGTTGAAAACCCTTATTGAGGGCCATCAAACATTTCCCAACAAAATCAACTAGCCAAGCCCCGTAAAACACATGAATTAGGCTGGGCGCTCCTAACACGACGGATTTGGCCCAAAAGGGTGTTTGTGGCACCCTGATACGTTTGCACAATGCGTAGCGAGCTGACTTGCAGGGTTGACAACTTCATCATAGTTTGCGACGCGCTAATTTCCCACAAACACCAGGGGAACTCACTTCTTTGCGTGTATTCATGAGGGAAAGCGTCTAGTATATTTTGACCAAGGCTGGTACTCGTCACTAACAAGTAGTGGAGATGGGGTGGACCAGCGAAAGTGACCACACAACTTGTGGTCCCAAAATGTCCCATGTCCTGTTGGGAAAGCACTCTATGTTGTTTGTTACAATATCTATCTACAAAAAGTGCACGTCTTCATTTGGCAATGAATTTGGCTGGGACCGGGACCACCCTCCAAAGTAGTCGCACCCTCCAAAGTAGTCGCAAATGATGTCTCCCAAAGCGTCCAGCCAAGAAGCACGCACAAATTACCAACCCATTTTGGGTGAAGCGCCGTCAAAGGCTAAATGCCCTCCCACCATGCATGAAAGTTCACCGCAATGATTTCGCCTTCCAAACACGCGCACAAACACAGAGCAACATACAAAACACGCTACCAGGCACTGCGACAGACAAACACGCAAAAAGACACACGGCAGACCAAAAGACAAACATGCACAGACACGCACACACAATACAAAATGCAACAACACGCAATCAGAGGCAAACCACACACGCAACAACACAACAACGCGCTCAAAGCAAAGCAAGCCAACACACACACACACACAACTTGGCGGTTCCCAGCCATCCCCTTAGCTGTTTAGCTTTTCAGTGTTTTGTGGGGATTTCCATCTAACCCACAAAAGTTAAGCTTTTAGCGGGGAATCTGAGGCCAGCGACAACCAAAGAAACAGGAGACAGGGTTTCCACTCGCCATGTTTCTTGCAGGCGCGGCACCCAGTGCAGCTGCACTTCCTGGCGGAGCTGGCGAGGGACGTGGTGACCATTCGCCAGGCGGCTGGGGACGGACGGACAGTCTGAGGGCGGCTCAGCGATGGGCCATGGAGAGGAAGCCACAGAAACGGGGTAGGCAGCAGTACGCATAGATATCTGTAAATGCATATACCCATCAATTACATCTGTAAATTCCCTTTGAACCCTCACCGACCCTATTTTTTGGCCTTGATTGGAAGCACACACACACATAGCCTGTCACCAACTACCCTTTACGGGGGAGGGCAATCAATACGCAGCGAGCTTAGCCACTTCTTACCAATCCAATGCGGGGGGGGGTCCCTGCCTTAACTGCCACCTGACAGGAGGGCTACAATCCTCTTGAAAATGGCCACGGTCCACTTCCATGGTTGTCGGAAAGAGGGTGACGCGGAACCTTGAGGGTTCTGGAAGACCCGTTTCCACGTCAAGCAACATTCTGTTGGCTTCCATGTTAGGTGGCTAGGTAAGGTGAGATGCTTGTTTCATATCCGTTTGGGATGCAGGGTGTAGGTGTTGGATCCTTTTGCGACCCTTTGCAACGGATGATGCGCCGTTTTGGATTTTCCGGAGATCGCCGTTTCGAGAATGCCCAGGCCTACCTCAGCCGTACGGGGCGCTTCTGGTGTCGTGGGCGCAGGTCACGCCAAGCAGCGACCTCCCCGACTTGGCGCAGAGCATCCAGGACGCCTGGCAGAGCGAGCTGGAGCGGCGGCAGCACGCCAAGGCGCGCGCGCGCGCGGAATGAAATGCTGTGGGTGGACCAAATCCACTTCGCACCAGTTGGGATGGATGGAACTCTACGAGCAACCGGTGACAAGTAGATTTTGTCCATCCACAGTTGTCAAAACAGGGGGAGCTCCAAAATGAGCAGATGTCCTTTGGTTGTCGGTTCAATCCAATGTGAAGGGCTACCCTGAAAAAAACACGCACACACACGAAATAATATTATGCGTATACAGAATACATACACTCTTTCAGTGGCCACACGCTTACTCTCTTACCAAGAAACATGGCTTGGCGCTTGTTCTGGGCCCTCACAAAGAGACAACTTCCCTTTTGGGAAAGGGTCCTGTGCGGAGGGTAAGTTGCTTTATCCGGACTGGCATTTGGTGCGACACTTTCAACAAGAGCCCGGCGGCAGAGTGACGTCACAAGTTATGCTGGCTTGGTTTTTTTCCTTGGCACCTGTGTGCGTGTGTCTTCTCTACAATGGCGCAATTTCTGGATGATGGGGGAGTTCGGAGACACGCGGGGTGTTTGCCACTGCCTTGGCAAATGCGAGCCATGCGGACTTTGACTAATAAGCCTCCTGTTGTCAATGAGGAGCTCCGGTCCTTGCCCCCCCTCCCCGCAACACAGACACAGAACCCAAAAATGCGGCCCCCAAAAAGAAGGCTCCTCTCAACATATGACACCCACAAAACCGTGGTTTTTTGGGGATAAGACTTTGAGACTTTGGGGGTTCCAAGTGAAGAATTCCAGGCAGCTCTGGGGGCTCTAGGTGGAGCTGCGGCACGAGCGTTCCCACTGGGAGAAAGCTGAGAGGCTGTGGTGGTCAAAACCATTTTGGGATCCCATTTTGGTGGGTAGCTGAATTCACCACCCATGTTAACAAAACTTGATCAGAATTCAGATGGCCGTGGGTCAACACCAATGGTACCATTTTGGGGTAGGTGAACTCCCCACCCATGTTAGGACCTATTTTAGTGGTTGGATTGAATCGGATGTTCGCTGGGGGGTAACCGGGCTTTTGACCCATGGCATGTGTGGGATTTGGTTCGCGACCGAAAACACCCACGAAGCTTTTGTTCACTTCTGGGGTCCCCAGTCCCAAGTGTCAGGGCGCCCGGATCATATGTACTGGTGAATGTTCTGGTTTGATGTTTGTTCCCAGTTGTTTGCCACTCATTGTTTGAATGCTATGACTCTGACTGCTGCTTCCCTTCAGAACCACCCCCAACCAACAAGAAGGAACAGCACTGAAAACCAATCTACATAGGCCCTACAGCCACGCGACTTTTTTTGCGAGGCAGGCAACGTACACAGGTTGTTGCAATTCCCCCCATTCTGATGTAGCCATCACCATTGCTTACCATTGGACCATGGGAATTATGTCATCCACTCTCACCTCAGAAAGTTGTTGGCTATCCAATGTGGTGTATCTTGGACCTTGTGGTTGCCATTTTAGATTGTCACTTTCGCCCAAGCTGTGCTTTGTGACGATTCTTGCGGCCGCAAGGCGAACAGAAGAGGCGCCAGGCAGGGCATATCAGTGTCTGTACAGTTTGAAGAGGGTTAGGACTCCGTGTTTGAAGTTTCTTGTCCTGGAAAAGCACTATCACAGGTTTGCACCCGGATTTCAACCGCCCCATCAAACATTCAAATGACTTTGGGTGGATGCTACGGTTAGTCTCACTGGGGGCCTTAGCATCATTGGCGACCGTATAGTTGTCATCCACGGCTTTTGGCCGAACAAGAGGAGAGCTTACAGCGGACGATTTGGACACAATGTTACTTGCACAGGTTGCCTTTCTCGGACATCACATAGTTTTCTTCCCACCCGGAACCATGTGTGCAACACGCCACTCAGCACGCCACTCTGTAAACACCGCCATGGCACTTGCGATCGTTGGCCTCCCCAATCTACAATTGGGTGAAAGCAGCTGACACAACTCCGCCCATGTTGGTTCAAAGTTAGTCATTGCCTTTACTTGCCCGCACAAATGGTTTAGCGTCATCCACTTTCAACTTCGTGTAAAGTCGTTGGCCATCCCTTGCTAAGTGTATCGTACTGGATTTGTGGGGTTGCATGCTAACGTCAAGCTTCAGCGCAGTGAGTCTATGCCATGGATATGCAAGCATTGAACTGGCCAAAGTATGAGCGGCACGTATGGACAGCGCTGTCATTTCCCCAGGAAGTCTGCAATCTTGCCCTTAGTTTGTTCTGCACGATCTGTGTGGCCGCCTTACACCTTCCAACATGAAGAAAGGCAAATCTGTAGGACCTCTTTTTCGGGGCCCTTTTTGGAATCCTTTGCTTGGGTTCCACGTGAGCATTGATTCTGCCATCGGGTTTTCCGAATGCCAGGCACGGCCAGTCCAGAGACTCGCACAGAAGCCGGGAGCCCCAGCAGATTGTAGGTTTCTTCCCATAGAATTTGGACAAGCCAACAGGATGTGAGAAGAGAGTTGGCTAGGTGGACGGGTTTGTCTTTGGATCTTTCCGAGAATCTTTCAGGACCGCAAAGAGAACTCTGCCAGTTCGGGGTAATCGCTTTACTGCCAAGAAATGGACTCTCTTCACATAAGCGCAGTCTACCGAGGAATCGTGCAAACCCAGACCGCCATTGTCAATTGCAAGGATCAACCAACACGGACTGTAAGGGCACCTTGGGGTGAGAGCCAAAAGCACTTGGCCCAATTGCCAATTAGTTTCTTTCAGATTCAATCATCAGCTTCGCATAATGTTTAATCGAACAATTATGCTAGCTATCTTCTGTATGATCATCCGAATGATCCCAAAGATGGTGCAGGATATTGGCCTTCTTAGGAGTTTCACTTCCGGGCAGCTTGCATGTCAAAGCTAGGCTCGTTGGCCGCCTGCGGGCTGTGTTGCCCGTTGGGCTGCCCGTTGGGACCCTAGCGCAACGAGGCCCCGAGCAGGGGCACGATTTTTCGTGAACTGCGTGGCAGCTCAAGGCCAGCAGCAACCATTTGGCCATGGGTCATAACCTATGCCTCCATTTTGGGGCGGATGAACACCCATGTTGTTCACCAAGGGTACAGGGTTTTGACCCACAGCCATTGCCGATTGCGGGGAGGGCGTCCCCTGACTAGTCACGCTCAGAGAGTTTATTGTCGGGAGCTTCCCTCAACAGATGTGTTGCCCCTCCCTGCTTGCAAGCATCTCTGACAAATACCAGGCCATGCTGCTCTTGGACCAACGGTTCCAGTAGGAAAGGGTGCCAGCCATGATCGCAGAAGTAGCGAGTGAATCAGGATGAGCTCTTTTCTAGGTGTCTCTGGTTGTGACTTTAATTCGGGTACCTAATGTGGTGGTAGCTGGATCTATTGGAGTAGACCGGCTTCAGTCACTCCATCTTCTGGCAACAGCCGCCTGCTTGTTCTTGGGGAATATATCTATGGAAGCCCCCTAGTGTAAGACTATTCCTGCTGAGTGGTTTGTGGGCTTATGTTTGTCCTAAGAATCAGCGGACCACAAAAATTGGTGTGGCTACCCCGGGTTTTTGTCAGGTGACTCCGAGGCGCGGGACGGGTGCTTGAATGCTCGGGCGGTGTGCCTTGGATCCCCGGCTTCCTTTTGGGGCCTCCTGGGGGAATGATTCATCTCGTGGTGTTGCCCTGTACTAAAATGAAGAACACAGACAAAAAAAACGGTTCAGGGAAGATCATTGAGCAAGGCAAGTGCAAAACCTCAGGGAGGCCACTATTTGGCGAACACTTTTTGGAGCTGAAATCACTGATACATGAGCAAGTCAAACGGCCACCAAAGGGCGTTCCTTGAAAGAGGCCAGGGCCTGGTTGAGCCCAACCCAGTTCGCTACTGGTTCGGGGGGCCATGATCTTGCTACAAGGAATGATGGCTCAGGTGAGAAGCAAAGAGGGAAGCCGGCATATGCAGAGGTCCCCTGCTCACTTAGGCTTGGCACAGACCACCTTGACCTTCAAAAGGCTTCACAACTCACGACACTGCCAGAAGAGTTTTCCACTTCAGCTCGCACGCGCGGGCGAAGGGTCGCTATTTTGTATCTTGCTTGCTCCATCTTGCTCCCATACCTTTGGGAAGAGCATTCTTGACACTTGGTCGGATGGTAGCCTTCGCTTCGAGGTCAAGCCGACCTTTCTTTTGCGTAACAGGACGAGGGAAACAGGGTGCATTGACTCATGGCAGGTTGGTGGCTTGGATTGGTAGTTTGCACCCCTGGTTCTTGTAGAGGGTAAATCGATCTGAATCGAACTGGAAGAGTTTACCTTTCGAAGCAAAGGCTCCCCGAGATCTGCTCCCAAAGGATCAGAAAGGCATCCTCCAAGACCCCGCTCAAAGTCAACATTCTGCTGGTCAAAAAGGGAGGACAAAGAAAGCCCACAAAGGCAAAGGTGCCCAAAGGTTTTCCGTGGGCAGGGGAAGCGTTTCCTATCCTGCCATTTGCAGTGCCCGCCATGTCTGAAGGCTAGGGACCCTCTCACTGCGGTCGAAAGCCACTACGGGGGTCCTGAAATTTGAGAAGCCACAATATGGGGTCTCAAAATAGGGATTTCCAAATAATTGTGGTTGTCCCTTTGGTTTCCCTTCAAAACAACCCCAAAAGGGTACCCAGACACATGGGTTGGGGCCCCATGTACTAGGACCTCTGAGTTACCTTGTTCAAGTCGGGAAGCGCTTAATTTGTCCCGCCTCCCTCTTTCGATCCGTGAAAAAGGGAAAGCGCCGGCTTGTTCTCTCAGTTTCGAGGATACACACATGGTCTGAACAAAAGGTCCATTCCCCGCATGTTTACTTGAGTGACTTCAACAGAGTTTTTTGCCCAGTTTGGTGCCCCATCCCATTTAGGTCTCTGGCTCTGACTCATGGCCTCTGATACCCAGCCCCAAGCACCTTGACACATATCAGCTTGGCAGGCAGGCGTTGAACTTGAGCAAATGATCAGCTTCCCTCGAATAGATGGTTTAGTTTTTGTTGCAACTCCTGTCTTGAGACACAACGCGCCCCGGGATGTGTTTAGTGGAGTCAAATCGGGTGTTCGGTGGATCGGGTTCCCTGCCACTTTCTGCGCACCGACAGTGTTCCTTTTGCGTCGCCAGGCAGAGACGACGAGGCCGCGATCGCAATGATGCCACACTTGCCCAATGGTCAACCGATTTCGCACTTCGCTTTGGTCCACTCAACTTAAGGTGGATAAGGGGCCCCACGAAAGGGGATTCCTCGAATGCTTTCGGAGCTTCGTTATTTTTCCGATTCTCATTTGGCTTCCCTTTTACTTTCCTTTAGTACAAATTCGCAAAAGGGTCTCTAGCTATACCCAATCTATGCATTCCGCCCCACAGGACAAGGATGCTGGAGGATGCTGTTTGGGGCTGCCTTCTGTTTGGGGCTTTTAGGGTTTAAATTTAGGGTTTTTAGGGTTTAGGTTTGGGTTTTGTAGGGCGCAGGTCTAGGGTTTTCAGGGCTTAGGGCGGGTTTTTAGTGATTAGGATTAGGATGTTTAGTTTTTTTTGGAATGAGTCGTTAGGGCTGGGCTTTAAGGTTTCGGGGTTTGGCAGAATTCAGGCCGAGGCTTCGCTTGCCGTTACTGAGTTTGGTCGGGGAACCAAAACCGTCGGAGCTTCGAAAGCCCCAAACTGGCGGCACGTGGATTGGACGCAACGTTAGCGGACACAGCGCTGGAGTCAGCGCAGTGGAATGAGAAGTCCTCACTGACCTTCTCTCTTCGGCCGTTTGTTTGGCACAACCCGCGTATGATGCATGCGCTTTTCAGGTATTGATTTTGGGGACCGTGGAGCTTAGATCTAAGGAGTATGTTTCATGTCCTTCGCGTGCCTTTGTTGGAGGAACATCATACTTTCATATCTCCAACTCCCTAAAGGCTCTTGTGAAGCAGCCCAAGGTATCATGACGCCAGATTCTCAAACATTTGTTGGCCAGACCCAAAGCTGTGTGTGGGTGTCCATTGATGGCAAGGACCAAAAGGACGCACGCTGCAGTGATCCCATTTACCTGTGTGCTACAACGATACGCAATAAACCAAGGGGTTTACCACCCTTCAACTAGGACTTGTCCTAGGATTTGGTTGGATTTTTTTTGAGTGGGAGCACGTTTACGTTTCTTCTACCCACCACAACACATATGTTTTTTTTTGCGCTGCGGGCCACCCACTAAACGGACAATGGCTGGAGACCTATAGTGGCTCACACTGGCTCCACTAAGCACCATGAAAAAAGTTTGCTTGGGAAGCATCCAGGTTTGCCCTTCCGAGTTGTTCAAATGAGTGTGGTTTCTTTGGGGGTACCCCTTTTGGGATAGTTTAAAGGGAAAGCAAGCGGAAAACAACCAGTTTGGGGCGTGCCCACACGCTTGGCTTATATAATGTTCTCCAGTTCGAAGGACTCACGTCGGGCTCACTGCCCCAATGGGCCAGCGCGGCGGAGCTGCAACCGTCCCAGTTTAGACAACCCAGCCTGGCTTTTGCAGGTCGCGAGTTGAAGAGCGAGGAGCGACCGAGCGGCGCACTCAGGCAAACTTGGCCGGCCCGATTAGGTTCGCTTGTGGATGTTCCCTCGGGTGACGGATACTACGTCAACTTTGAACCGTGGAACCAAAAAGAGGTTCCCTGATGGAGGAAACTGGTCTTCGAGGGGTCCCGTTCGGGTGCCATGTCTTTTTTGGGAGGGCAGCATCGGGCATTTTTGTCATGTACATATGTGAATCCTCTAGTATGGTTCAACATTGAGGGCCCAGGTTCTCTTTTCGTTCTTGCATCTGACTTGTGTTTATGCGTTGGCTGCAGAAACAAGAATGAATTAGCTGCAAAGAAGCATCAGGTCTCAGGGTCCAAATTGAACAGGGCGCTCAATCCGGGGTCTAGCTTCCATTCCCTTGCTTTAATTTGCGTTTGGGACACCGAGAACTATCCCTAGGCGCCCAAAACCTAAAATAATGAGGTCGTGGGCTCCGAAGGGTATGATTGATTTGCACCCGGGTACAAGAAACTCAGATTTCCAGCAGTCCGATGGGCCAGTCACCCTTCTGGTGAGAGGGGTAACCCGCATGGCGGTTTCAATCGAGACTGTGGTTTCAACATTTCGGGGCGTTTAGCTGCTTCAGTAGCTTGAGACCTGCTGCTGACCTAGTGCTCCTCAGATCACAGCCTCCATGGAAGCGCAGTACATCATGCTACCCCTGACAACTGACATGATAAACAAGTAGCTTCGGCCAAAACTTCTGGTGACTGGTGGAAGAAAAAGTACGCTTACCAGTTCCATGACCCACTTGTTTGCAGTCTCAGCCTTGAGCATGGCCAGTCTCAAAATGCGGGATTAATTCTACGGTTGTTTTACATTCAGCATCATTCAGCGCCTCTTGATTACAAATTAGAGCATCTGTTGATACTTACCTGTACATGTTGTCTTATATATCGCCATAGTTCTTCAGACTAGGAACACACATCACTAAATGCGGGGACCCGCTTGGTGTCATTTCCCAATTTCGGCGGGGCCACCTGTGTGGCAAACCGGGAAACCGCTCGAACATGGTGGAGAACTTGTATGTCAGCATGCGGGCGGTGTGGATTTGCTTGGGTGTCGAGGCCAGCTCGGAAGCTTTAGCAGAGCTGCGCTTGCTTCGTGGGGGCAAGCTGCTTCTCCGTGATGGAAGATGATTGGCTCGAACAGGCTTCCGCTTGCCTATTGAGGCTTTGGCGGTTCCGGGCCTTCACGGCTTCCCGATGCACCATCGGCGCTTCCCGTGATCTGATCGCTGTGATGACTGGGTATCTGAGCTTGGTGTCTCGCCTGCACAAGAACGCATTTCGGACTGTCGCAAAAGCGGCTGAAGCGACTGGACAAGCAGGCTCAGCAGTCTGCCAAGAGCTTTCTTTTCCATCTGATGACACTTTGCATTGCTGGATGAGTATTCTTTCGGATTCAGGACATGAGTCCTCATGTAAATGATGAACCTCACACCCATGTCTGCATGTATCTGCAGTTGTTTAGTGGCACCTCTAAGTTGCCTTTGGTTTGGCAGTTTTTTGTTTTGTTTCGTACATGATCGATTGGTGGGTTCCCCATGCTCAACTTGTTCTTTGCAGGGGAAATCACATCATTTTGGAACGGGTGTTGTCGTTTTGAATGCCAGGCAAGGTAACCTTGCCAACCTTAAAGCCAATTGCAAACCTAAACCCACCATAACCCAACCACAACCCCTAAACCCACCCTAAACCAACCCTAAACCAGCCCTGAACGCCAACCCCCAAAACCTACCGTACACCCGTCTCGCGCATGGCTTCGAACCTGAGTTCGCCGCAAGTGGGCTTAGGCTCCCCAAGCCGGGCTCCGATCGAGGCCGGAGCGGCACCGTTCTGGCGCTCGGTCCAGTGAGCGGAAAGGGCCCGGCACTCGGAGACTGAGGGGATCCCAGTTGGGAGTGTGGCTCGTCTCTTTTCTTTTGGGGGGGCACACCCCAACATGGTGGGTGTCCTTAAGGCTTCCCTTGAAAACACCACAAAAAAGGGGGTGCTCTCCGTTGGCCAGAACTCCACTCAAATAGACCCCGAGAAAAGGGTTCCAACTGGCTCCCAGAACTGGGGTTGTGTGTCTGCGCCCGAAACGCCTGTTGGCTATTTTAGCAGTTGGTTCTACTACCTGGCTTCTTAGAAATCATAGTAAGTCCTATATAAACCTTTATAACCGTCCCATCAGAACTAACTGTCGACGGGGATTGGGCGTTGCTCACATGAATATAAGCGAAGCCAGGTGCCAGGCAGCAAGGGCCTATGTTTGACCGATCAAATAGCATGAGGGTGTGGCCGTGTGGCCTTTTTTGAGTCGTCTCAAACAAAATACGTGGTTTCCCATTGGTTTCCGCTTAAAACAGCCGCAAACAAGGTACCCTCAAAAAAAGACTCACCTGCAAGCCATCCAGATGTGTTTTTCGGCATGGGTGCTGCGCCATTTGCTTTCAACAGGAGTTTACCACACCGGTTGCTACGTGGCGCAATTTCGACCAAGGGCCGGTTGACTCAGAACATTGATTCCATTGCTTCTTTGTTTATTGCATGGACGATGCAGGTTTTTTGATCCTGATTTCAGCTTTGCATGCCCCAGAGTTATGCTTGGTGCTCACAACCACTCGCCACAAGGACCCCAGTGTGATTCGTCTTGATTCTCCGTGAAGCACTTTATCAACGATTTCACCACTTCCAGCAGCACTGTTTAGAGCATCAACATACGACTCAAGCCAGAGGATCATGCCAATTTCAGCGTCAACTGGGTAGGAGCCAAGTACATAAATGTACATTTGTAATTAGCTGCTTTGGCTTTCCAGGAGCTTGACGTGGACATATTTGCCATGGAGCATATGGGAAAAGCATTTGGGCAATTCAGCCTGTCACACTTATTGCCGCCGCTTCCTTAGGAAGCCACCGAAGCAGCCGAAGTCGCCCAAGGATGCCCTGGACGTGTGCCTTGGCGAACCCGTTTTGTGGATCCGACGGACGAATTGTCGATTTGATGGCGCAGTTGTTCACTGGAAATCCGGCTTGGCGAGAGAGAGAGAGAGAGAGTTGCAAGGACAATGGTTACTTTAGGAGTTAGTAAGCCCTGACCAGAGTGGTCAGCACTCCTAGGTTAAATGTTCAAAACATTGGGCCAGCTACAAGCAGCACCTTAAGCTGATGTAGAGGATCCTACTGTGAAGTAGGCGTTGGATGTATCCCTCGAGTGCCTTCACAGACACGACCCAACATTTGCTTGAACCAAGAAAAATACCAATGGTGAAGACGAAGCATGAACTGACAAGGGACTAAGAACTGCAAGCAAATCTGTTGCCCAACAGTTTCCGCGATCCCAAAGATGTGGGAACCTGATGTTACATGGATTGCGCGAAGATGAGTGTCAGGGTAATCTCTCCCTAAAACCTTCCGAACATCAAGACTGGTGCATGAGATTTGCACCCGCAGGTTTTGCCGCTTCCTTTCAAGTTCTGAAGGGCAAAGCCCAGAGAAAGAAGAAGCAACTTGTGTTTCAAACTCCGTTGGCGGCCCCCTGATCTGGGCTCCCCCTGCAAGATGCACCCTCCGGCTGGGAACGAGCATTTTCGGGGGAAGAGGGACAAACCCGGGCGCATTTTATCCGAAATGGCCACAGGTAGGCGGATTTTGAACCCACAGATGACGGCTGTGTGTGTGCGTTCTGCTTCAGATTCCTGAAACATCTGAAGCTATGGTGGCAAGTCGCTTTTACTTTCCACCAAGAACCCCTTTTCAGGGAACGGATGGTTAGTTGGTGGCTTCTGAGTCGGCTTCCGCCCGAGGCTCGAAGCAGGCGGCCAGCCGGAGGTGGGACGCCTCGGCTCGCGTGGCACATCCTTTGAATTTGGGGTGGTGCAGGTGATGCTTGGAGCAAACGCGCAGACATGTGGCCGTAGAAGGACATAATTCTAGGACACTAGGACACTCGCACACCGAAGACTTATCAGGTCCCGGAGTGTGACTTAGACACCATAGCTAATTCAAGCGTGGCAGACAAGCAGCCACGGGAGTTTACATGGCTTCAACCAATGAATGTCCTAATAGGTTGATAGGTGTGTTTGTGTGTGTGTGTGTGTTCTAAAATGTGTGTGTGTGTAAGTAAGTACGTGGGTGGGTATGGAGGCCCTAGGAGTGCTGTTGCTGTTTCTGGGCGTGAAGCACGTGTGTTGTTTGTTTGGATTCCACAGGATCACTCCTGGTGACATCAGTGACTGCCTCAGGTAAGAACCACAAGTGGGTCCGCCAAGAAACAATCGGGTCATGTATGCGTCCAAGCACGATAGCAAGAGTTGTTCAGCCGTCCTGGCCATGCATAGATCTCCTGGCATATGTTTGGTGTTATCAAGAAACCGCTCCATCAGGTTTGAGAACGAACGGAATCAAACTATAAATGTCACGCATTACATTAACAATGTTGAACTCGTGTTTAGCTCTAGGGCTTTGCGACGATTGACAACAAAGTGCCTGAGTTGCCTCGGTTGATGCTGGGCGCAGGTTGATGTGCTGCAGCCGAGTCGCAGTTTCGAGCATGGAGGCAAGGGTCCGACAGATGGATGAGCGACTCTGGTCCTCGTTGCCTCGGTTGCCTTTGTGCGCTTTTGTCCCATTGTTCCCTGTTGGGATTGGGAGGCCCCTGTTCAGAGGTCCTTAACAACCATAGGATCTTGTCTTCTTGCCTGACTTGTGTGCCTTCACTGCCTCCCTTATCCTCCAACTGGCCGAACTTGTCGGCTTGCTACAATTGCCGGCCTTGGCTGGGGGCAGACATCAAGTCTGGGATGCGCGTGAACATGTCCTCAACTTGGCAGGGTCAACTGCTTTCGGATTGACCCCCTCCGTCCCGAACTATACCTCTCGCGATGTATCCCCACGTTTCACTTTTTCTTCCGTTAACCCCCCTCTGCGAAATGACCTGCGTTTTGACCTCTCACATCATGAGACCATACAGATGTTCCCCTTGCAGAAGACTTAGGTAGCCTTTGTTATTTGGGCCGTATGTGGTTGCCCAGTTGATCTGTGGTGCCCCTTTTTCCCTTATTGTTTTGGGGGGCTTCCCCACTAGCATAGGCAACTACACAACATGTTTCACTAGGGTCACTGACACGACCAGGCACTTTCGACTACAGTTTGCCCTCAAGGTCTAAGTGCATTAGGTGCTTTCACTCTTTCCCACAATTCCCACCCTTCAACCATCCGCATAGTTTGGGGTACTTTGACCTTTCCAAGACCTCCCTCAAGCATCCACAAAGGGATCCCAAGGGACATGTGGGGCACCCCTTGTTTGGTGTTAAAGGGAAACCAAAAGGAAGCCACCCATATTTTGGCTTCCTCTATTTGACTGTGGCTCACCAAACCGGTACCAAAATGGAACCCTGGTAAGTGGAAACATGGACCAAAACCTGCGTAACCCCTCCTGTTTAATTTTGAGCCACACTCATTTTGAGCCAACCCCTTTCTTTTGGTGCAGCGTTCCGACCCCCCCACTCCCCACCAGCGCCAGGCCTTCGTCCTGAGCGCGCGCGCTCCAGCTCCCTGCACTCGCCCGGCGGGGGCCGCCCGATCCCAGCGGAGTGACAAAGCGCCGGCGGGTCATACGGTTCCCAGACATCCGGTCCCTTAGCTTTTTAGCCTGTGTTTAGTGGTAGTTTCCGAATTTAAACCACTAAAGTTAGTTAGTCACTTCTAGGGGATCTGAGGGCCGCCCAGATACGGTGGGTGGATGCAAAATCCAATTGGCTATGGGTCAAACCCCAAATCGTAGCCCCAGTGAACATCCATGCCCACTAAAATAAACTATAAATGGGTGGTGTACCTACCCCAAAATGGTTCCATTGGTGTTGACCCACGGCCATTTCGCACCACCTAAGAAACTGTGGGAAACCACAACATTTGTTGGTGTTTACAGGGAATCAAGTCCATTTCGCACCACCTAAGGTTTCTATGGTGTAAACCATAATGCTTGTTGGTGTTTATAGGCGAATCGAATCATTCCAGGGGTTTCTTAGGTGCGAAATGGATTTTGTCCATCCACAGTAGGGATGTGTCCCACGAGCCTAGCAATGGAAGGAACCAAAGATTGGGTTCCAAAAGAAGATTTCTCGAAAAAGATGGTCTTGGAGGGTCCATGTTAATTTGGAAGGAAGTGTGGGCTCGCCCCTCTTCTAGAAAAGAAAGCGTGGCTTAACCATGGTTGGAAAATGATAGGCACCTTAAACAGAAGCTTCGAACACTGTTCGGGGTAGCCTTTTTTTTCTGACAAAGGGGGCATATCAGTTCAGCCCTGCATGGTTGCGCTCCAAGATCTGCCACATGGCGGGTTTCCCCCCCAATTTGGGCCTGTCCTATCACCACTTAGAGACGTCAAATGGGAAGCCAAAGAACCATGGGACTTTCCGCTTCAGACCGTTCCATTTGTTCCAATCTCGTGATAGCCCTTTCGACAGGCTTCAAGCTGCAACTAGTGGGGAACACAAACCATGGTCAAACCGAGCACTCTCCGAAAAGGCTTGGTACTCTTGGACACCCCGGTCGAACACCTTCCATGGGAACCCTTGCTTTGTTTCGACACGTTCAACGCCATGCGAGGTCTCTGAGAAACCTCTCCTACATGTTTATTGCGGAGCCTGAGTCGGGGCGGGCTTTTCCATCCCTTGTGGCTTTGGGATATTTTTTCACATCTTTCACGGCAGCCGATCTCGGGCGGGGTTAGCTGATCTCAGGTCCTCCGGACTTCGACTTGGCGAGCCGCAGTCGAGGCTGCGCCAGATGAGAAATCGGAGAATTCGCCTCTGGTCACTGGGCAAAATGTGTAGCACTCAGAACCCAAACCTTCTTTTAAAGGAAAGCCCAAAGGAGGTGGTTTGAACATGGTGGTTTAAACATGTAGCACGTGGCTGGCCCAGCCCTGGTCACCACAAAAGCAGATACATAATCAGGACAAACCACCGTTACACTGTAATGGGAACCTACTAGCCCCAGTAAAGGGGAACCTACCACAATGGTCAGGAAACATCTCGGCAAGCGACTATGGTAACTAGGAGCAGAGTCCCTGGATACTCGCGGAAAAAGTGAAGCAGTGTTTCCCAAGGGCAAGAAAGCCTCATGGTAGCCGAAGACACGGTCCATGTCCAGTCTCATTGGTTACTTTGGGAAAGCCCGATTGAAACTCCACAGGGCTTCCCGAAATGGTGTTCCTTACGCCAAGGCGCTGCAGATGGAACACACTTCCCCGATGCTTTGTCTGATGCTATCAGCTTGAAGTCGCCAAACCTTCTAGGACATTGTGGTGGTGATTTGCAGGCGCACGACTCCCATGTGCAGTCGGACGATTCGATTTTTGCCAGGTTCTTCCAGCAACCTGGCGCGGAGCCCAGATATGAGTGGTCTGAGTGGGTCTCAAAATAGGGAAACCGCCCCAAAATTGTGGTTTTCCGGTGGTTCCCTTTAATCCAGGCTGAAAAGGGTGCAGTCTAGCGTCAGCAATTAGTAGCACTTGGGGGCTTTCATTATGGAGAACATGAGGGACTGTTGGTTGGATGGGAACAAACAACTGGTGAAAAGCGGGGGGCAGAGAGTGCCTTTGGCTGTTCCCCCCCGCCCCCCGAAGAAAAAAAGAAAAGCAGCACCAAAACGGGGATATCCACAAATGAGTACACGCCTCTGTGTCACAATATGAATCCAAAGGAGCCCCATGAGGAGCCAGGAGTCCCTCACTGAAGGCTTCCAATTCAACAGGTACCCCCTGGCCAGGTGTTTGGAGAAGCTGACCGGAGGAAATTCACTAAATGCACCTAGGATTGGTAGCCATTCAAATCGGGCCTTCGCCTTAGACTCATAGGATTGCGACAGACCTCAAAAGTATAAACAACTCGTTCCGGCCACCGCAGGGTTCCCTAGGTTTCCATTTGTTTGTGGTCTTAAAGAACACTGTTTGGGACAAGTGAAGTGAGTTTCCTTTGGGCTGATGTTCCACGCGGATGTTTTGTTTTTTTGTTTTTTTTTGTTTCATCTGGGGGGCCTGTCCAATAGGTTTGGTGAATTCTATTGTGGGCTCCCTCGCGTTTGGCTCACTCCGATTTAGGAGGCCTACAGTTTCTCCGTGCGAATGTGCCAAAGCTAGTGACCCTTTAAATGGTTGGTTTCGCGTGTTGATCCCCTTTGGAACGCCGTCCCCACAGCGGGTCTTTGTTTTATTGTGTCATTCAGCCCAAATACTCGACAAGCCCTACCGCCGAACACGCCGCAAGTCCCAAGGATAGCCGGCGATCCTCGCCCTCCCCTGATTTGCAGGGGTCCTCGAAAGGGGTCGCGCATATCCAGTACAGAGACAGTATCGACGTAGAATGGTATTGGTGTATACACCAAATGTTTACAATATGTGTACGGTCAGGCGGACCCAATGTATAATATATATATATATATGCAATGTTGCATGTTTTTTTTTGTGTTTTTTTTTTTTTTTCGTTTGCAGACCTCCATGCTGCACTACATATATACAATGTTATATACAGATACAGATACGTACGCATTCACAGCTGCATACACAGACGAAACTCAGTACATTTTGTCAGGGGCACCAGTCCAGAGGTGCGCGGTGGAGCCGTAGACTTCCAAAGTCTCGGCGTTTTCTGACCACTCGGCTCAGGAAGTGAGTGATTTGGAGTGGCAAGGGGACCCATGGCGACCTGATAGTGACTAATTGGGGTTCTCATGAACTCAGGGCCGTGATTTGTCCATGGTTTGCTGTGCTGAAGCCTTGAGTGGTTGAACCTGTTTCAGGATGCTTTCAAGACGCTGAGGAGCTCCTTCATTCCATCTGTTTGGGCTTCTGGCCGCGACGCGGAATGAAGTGGGTAGCGGGCAACACCCAGCAAGGCTGTCTTTCTTGATTGAATTTGAGCTGCATACAAGCGACTTTGGATCAATGTGCAGCAAGGAGCCCTTCAATCAAAACCATCAGCTACACAGGGACTGCTGGCTCATACCCGAATGTCAACACTTTCAGTGGTGATAACGCACTGAAATGGATCTTGAAGCCGCCGCTCCAACACCCAAATGATAGTACACAAAAGCAAGACTAAGTCCGACTTGAGGGGTGTAGACTGCAAGAAGAAGCATTGAAGGGAGCACCCGAACGCTGAAGGAATTGATTCCAAGCTGGAAACCAACCCCAGGCTGGCCCTCGACGCTTGCAGAACCAGCTTAGGCTCTGCGCAACGCAGACTGATGGATTCCTTGTGATCTGACCGCACTTCCCACTTGGGACTCCTGTACGTCACGTTGCCGAAATCCGATTCAAGGTGTTGAAACCCTGGCACTGTGTGCTGTCTTGAAACAAGTGTTTCCAAAGGCGGCGTCACAACCATCCGTGTTTATTCAGTTACTCTTTGTAAACCCACGTAGAATTGGAGGGGGCATTGTAGGCCTTTGATGGTGTTGTGGTCTGAAGATATCTAGTGTTACATATATATACATATATATATATATATACATGTGTTTTCTTTAATGAGTTCTGCTTAAGGAAAACCAATGGAAAACCTGCCATTTCGAGGGTCCCCTATTTGGAAACAAATTCACAGGAGTGTGTGATACACCCAATTGTTACCACTCGCCCAGAAATTTGCAATGCCGTGTGTTGTCTTTCTGAAGGAGTAATCATCATTTTGAGTTGGGTCATTATGATGTACTCAAAGAGACGTTGCCTCAGGAAATTGTCGGGGCTGGACCCCTAAGTTCAGAAAAGAGCCAAAGAGGAGAATAACAAGTACGTAAAGAAATAAAGGCAGACATAAAGAAAGACAGAAACAACACAACATACATAACATAAAGATACATACATAAAGAAATGAAACAAGAAAAAAAACAAAGTACATAAAGCAAGAAAGCAACATATCAAGAGAGACCGACATAACACGACAGAATTAAATAAACAAATAAATAGACAGAAAGAATAACAGACAAATCAAGAGAGGAATAAACCAATGAGCAACACACACAGGCAGAAAAGAAGCAAAGACAGACATACTGTCTGGGAAACACATAAATTAGAAGGCATTAACGATGAAGCGATGGTAATCAACTGAAGAACATAACAACCAAACAAGAAACACACACACACACGCACAGACGCAAATAAAGCAACATTTAGATACATAAACAACAACAAGGAAGGGAATACACCATGACATTGCAAACAATCAAGAACACAAGACATACATAGCTAACTAAGCAAAGGCTTAATCCAGAAATAGACACATACAGAAAGACAGAAAAAAAAGTACATATATATATATATATATATATTCATACACACATATGTCTTTATTTATTTGTTTATTTATTTGAGGACGGCTTCCTATAGCGGCCTTTTCCTGCCGCCAGGGATCCGCGTGTTTGACATGTAGTCTTGCTGCCTCCTGTCGGGCGCGCGGTTTGACTTTCTGGCAGCGCGACCGCAGAGGACGGCAGGCAGAGTCCTTCAAACCTTAGGCAACCCTTCCTCCGGGCTGGTACCCCAAGCTCTTCTCGCCGCGGGCGCCAGGCTCGAAACCTGATGTTGCCAGAAATACGCCTGCTCTTTGCCAGCGGCATGTGCTCGTTTCAAAAGTCAAGGCTGCTGCTCCTTGAGTCGCAAGCCCTCACAAAAACATCCCATTCTTCCGGCCTCCTTGGCATCCCCTGTTCGGCCAGCATCTGGCGCACCACTGCCTGCATGCCGCAAGCGGCCCAGATATTTCGGCCGACTGTGCCACTGCGGGGCCCTCAATTTTTTGGCAAGCGCGCAGGCCGTCGGGATGCCTTCAGCGTCCGTTTGCCGACGCGGGAAGACAACGTGTTTGCGCACCACTAGAGCTGCAGGCGTTGCACATCCGAGTAGCCGTGAGTGTCGGCTTGCCATTCGCCTGCGCAACGCGGCCGTTTCCTTCCTTTCCTTCAGCCTCGACCACAGCCAGGGCACGGGCTGCCATCAACGCCATTCGGCAATGGCCCCTACGTGCAAATCTATACAGCAACACTGGGGGGTGCCCATGTCGAGCTCCCTGAGTTCACATCTTCGGCCATGAGATCCATGTCCGCTCCATCATCGCCAGGTGAATCACCTTGATGGGCCGTCCGCTGTTTTGAAGAGTTCACCGGGTCCATTGCCAGGAGACCTATCTACACTGCCCGAGCTCCCTCTTGCTGGGTCTCCAGGACCTCTTGATGAGGAACCTGCCTTCTTTTGGGGCTGCTCGGCAGAAGTGCTGGCATGTTTGTCAGTCGTCTTGTCACTTGTCTTTTGTTGTTTATTGTCTGGCCTGGCCGTCTGGAGTGCCCTTTCTCCGCCAGACACCGGGGCTTCACTGAGCTCCTGTATGGTCTTGTCTTCTTCTTTTGAAATCCCAACAGTCCCTACACTACTGCCTGGTGAGACTCTATTTGCCTACTGGGGCTCGCTGTCCTTGCTCGACCTAGAATGCCGCTCCTATGATATTTACAATGTTGAGTACCAGTTGCACAGGCGAAGCAAAGATCAGACGGTCGCCCTCTCCTTCGCTAGAGGGCTCCAACCAAAAAAGGCTGGGCGGCCACTGTGACGGGGCGCGCAGGGGGGACGCACTAGTGTACACAGATACATATGTATATACACCAGTATATATATATATATATGTATATATGTATAGATTGGTTGGTTGTATGGCGCTGTAGCTCTTTGTGCCGACAAATGCCGCAGCGCCAGCGCGCCTTGGCTCGCTGCAAGCAGGGAGGCCTTGCTGCGCACGCGCTTTTTTGTCGTGTGGTTTGAGCTTGGCCTTGCGCACTTCCGCGCCTTACTTTGCCTGGCCGCGTAGCTGTCAATGCAGTAGGCATACCACTTGAAACTCAGGCAACGTCAGCTCAACGGCTGAGAGGAGAAGGAATGTTCACAGCGGCTAATGTTAGGGTTTACTGCGCTGGGCCAACAAAGAGCAATGGTCTTGCATTAGACTGGGCGAGTAGGAACACCTGGCGCAAGGAACACGCGCAAGCAGTTTCGAGGCGTGCGTTGCACATGCAAGAGCCCGGCGTGACAAGAAGGCCGGTGCTAAGTCAGAAGCCGCGCGCTTCCACAAGGACGGGAGCCTGAGCTGCAAAAGCTCACCAGAATGTTTGGAGAGCTGGCTGTAGGAGTTTTGACACGCGCCGCAATCTTTTAGCCTTGTGCCTGCTGTCATGCAGCTTACCAGATTGAGCCTCAGAGCCCCGGCTCGCGAGAGTTCTGGTCGAACGGTGCTTGTGCAGCTGTACCACATTTGGCTGAAAGGTGGGCCATCCCGTTCGCCGAGCTGGCCCACCATGATGCGCGGGGGTTAGGCTGCCAAGGAGGTTCTGGATGAAGTGCAGGCAATCCTGGTTATGTGTTCTGCAGTTTTGCACGGGTGTTCGCCAACACCAAAGAACTATTGGAGATTCTAGGGGCCGAGAAGGACCATGCCGGCTTGGTCGGAAATCCAAGGGATCCCCTCTAGAGCGACCCCGAACTTGGGTTCTTGCCGAGTGTGTAATTCTCGAGCGAGATGTTTCTCAAAGACATTGCACTGATCAGTCTTTATCTCTGCGGATCTGACAACTCACTCTGGATAATGAAAAATTGCGCAATGAGATTGTCGCTGGCGGAGTCTCGCGCTAAAATCCTTGCTTCTTCGAACTTGTACACGTTAAGCCTGCATGAAATGGAACTCGGACTTCGCGCAGAAACGCATCTGCATCTGGAAGATGCATGTGCGCGCACATTCGCGCCTTCGCAATACGCATCGACGCATTCACATATATATGTTGCAGCATATCTGCCACCCGGATTGATTTGTTCCAGTGTGATCAGCTCCCGGGAGCTTTAAATGTAAACGGGCATTGAGCCAAAAGATTCAACGCCTCAGCGGGCATCGGTGGGACGCTGAACACGCGTCCAGTTTCGTGAAAGCTTTGTAGCGCGCGGTGGCCAAAGACCGTTTTTGATGCCAGCGTATCGCGCACGCGCAGCCCATCTTTTGCAGTTGCCGATGCGCGGTGTGCGAAACATGTTAGTTTTGCCGTTGCTTTCCGGGGTGTGTGCGTGTGCAGATGTTCCTGCAATTCCTGACAGGCGGGTGTGAGACGGTGCTCTGACAGGCGGGTGTGAGACGGTGCTACAACGCCAACAAAATTATTCATGCAGTGTTTCACGCGGAACAGAAATGTATACCAACCATATTCTAGGACTACGCGGGGCAACCGCCAAAAGCTTGCACGGCAGTGCTGGGAATGCGCAAGCAATAGGTAGATAGACAGACAGATAGAGAGGTAGACAGCGAAATAGCACGCCTATCGGGAAAGAAGAAACATCTAAATGAATGAACAAACATCTGTCTAGACAACTAAACAACAAAAAATAGACATAAAACAAGCACATAGACAAACAAATACATGAATGAGTGCTACTAACATACGGCCGTAGGAGCAAACACACACAGAATGACATACACCAAGGATCGAAGGAACCAAGAAAGGAAGGAAGGAAGGAAGGAAGGAAGGCAGGAAGCGAGAGACAGCGGGTGGCGGGTGATTGATTGTCTTCGAAATTTGCTTACAGATTGCTCGCCGCATTCCCTCACCAAAAGCCAAAGCCAAGGCGCTGTGGGAAGTACCAGAAGCGTCGGGCTCTGGGCCTTGTGGGCGCCATGCAGGTCAAGGCGAGGGGGGCATAGGGCAGGCAGCTTCCGTAAACTCAAAAAACTGCTGGAGGGTGGGGTGAGCCCATCCTGCTTTTGGAGAGAGGGCCATGAAAACCTTTCTAAGGGTTTATTGGAGGCAGTCCCAGCCCCAACTTTATGCAGGCGGTTTCGCCAACCTTCTGTGTTGTTCTCCAACTTTCTCCAACAGCCGGAAGCTTGGGGGTCTTTGCGCAGATCGGGGTGGTGCGGGCCGTCCAGGGTTCCAAAGGCTGGGCTCCCACCTAGTTTCTTCCGAAAAAGTCTTGGAGCACACCTATGAAATTTTGGAGTAGAAGGGCTCCAAGTGCTTAGCTTCACGGACCCTTAGACCCACCACGGACACAAAATCTCTTCACCGCCACCCGAAAGAAAAGCGCCAAAATGCTGCAACATGTCGACCGCAGGGCCTCCCCGCTGTTGCCTTCGCAATGCCCCGAACCAGGGCTTTTTTGACTTGATTGGCCTTTGCCGCATACGGGAACCCCTTTTTCGAAGGCTCTGTGTTTTCCTGCCAAAAGGGGTCAAAAACGAAACCCCCTTTGCACGGAAACATGGGTACTCTGCGGCACAAAGTCCACAAAAGCAGGGTTTTCCAACAGGTTGGCCCAGCGGATGGTTTGATCCTTCTCAAGGATCCATGCCGTGAATCGCAGGGACCAAAGCAAATCTGCAGGAAGGCTGTGGAGGGTTGCTGCACGGCACAAACCCGTTCCAAAAGTTTAGGGAGCCCAATGCTGGATGAAAGAGCTATGTTTGCAAGCCATGCAGAAAAAGAGAGTATGGGATTGATGTGATTTGTGTTTTGTACGATCAAAAAGAGCCACTTTTGTTGGGTCCCTACAACCGCTCTGCAGGAAGAGCGCGGCTGACGGGTCAGCTCCTCAGGGGGCCCTGGAATCCTGGAAGCTGCGGGTGTGTCCAGGCCCTTGAATCCTCCCAAAGGCTGGGTTCTTGAAGATCCACGCGCAAGATCCTGATGCCAGATGAAAGGTGGCTTCCCTTGTGCGGGTTGCGAATTCGGAAACTCGGGATGCCCCAATTTTGAACAGCCCAGGTTACGTAGTGAAGGCACCCTCTACAAAGGGTGCCCTTTGCCCAGGTCACCTGGTTGTGCCCATTGCAAGAGTAGCAATTCTGCCGCTCTTAGTTCGCTGTTTGGGGGACATGCCCAGTTTGGCGCCCCACCGAGGTGCACTAGTGGGACCAATGAAAATTCCAGGTTGACGAGGTGTTGCTTGCAAGACCATTTGCTTGGAAGGACTCCGGTGATTCTCCAAACGCCAGCGGGCCCAACCCCCGGTCCTTGGAAGGACTGCAAGAGGAAGCTCGACGAGTTCCGGAGATCGCCATTGATCGGGGGTTGGTGTCGTTAGGACTGGTGTTGCAGGTTACTCTTTCTGAGCTTGTCAAGACTTGATTGAAGACCAAAAGCACACAACTTATAGAATCGAAGACATGTGTGATTTCTGGCTTTGTGTATTTGCTAACGTGTGGAATGGCAATAGCGGAGGGAGTGGCACTACTGATACTGATACTGACTGATGAATGCGAAGGTTTTTTGCCTTCGGGTTTCAAAGTGCAGTCAGGTCCAGCTGAATTGGGGTTGCCATTTGCTCCCGCCGCATGTCAAAGCTAGGAGCCCTCTTGACGGCATGAAGAGCAATATATGAAACCAATCATTCGGAGAACAACGAGCCAGAACAACGAGCCAGCGGAATTTGTCAGTGCAGGGTTTTTCCTCTTCCTCTTGTAAAGGACGGATCACTAGGCGGCCCACTGCTGGGGACACAGTCAATGCCAGGGCCTCCATTGTTACCGCAGGTTTGACGTGATGGCTTCCCTTGGTTACTATCAATTATATATGAATGGTATCCGGGAAGCACTGGGAGGTTCAGCGGCACTTTCAGGGCTTCGGACATGCGAACCTCCTTCGTTGGTTTCGAGCCGCCCAAGGCCCGGTTTTCCAAGCGACGGAGCTGCTGCAGAGCTGGCAGCCGTCCGAAGAACCAGCCGTGAACAAACTTCCATAACGCCATGGTCTGATTTACTTTGGGGCGTAATGAGTTGTTTTTGAATACGGGGACTTTTGGTTTATGTGGACCCCTCCAAAAGGCCGGTTTGCATTGGGCTTCCCGTTTGAGGCACCAACCAAAATGTGGATTCATGTTGAGGCATTCCCCTCATCTCCAACCCGAAGATTTGAGCCAAATCACCATTGGCCCACTGGAGGTCAGACGATTCCCGCAACCTCGGATGAAAGTGATTGCGACCACCCTTATGGTTGGCGAGGAATTTTGATAGGGAACCCACCAACCTCAAATGTGATTGGTGGACATGAACCCCCACCTAAAGTTAAAGGATGTCCACCAAAGAGTCCCTACTTCGTTCTTTCTGTGGCCTGCACCCGTGACAAGTGCTGTTCATTCTCAGTGGCATCACTTTTCGCTGAGCACTAGCTCAAGATAGAGCCGAAGGGTCAACATGGATGTGGCTCAAGAATAATTAGGGGTCCAAAACGGAACCCCGGTAAATGAGCCAAAGACTAACATCTGCGTAGCCCTAGCTCTTTAATTTTGAGCCATGCCCACATGTGTTTTTGAAGTACCCAGACACCGGTGCCTGGAAGGAGAAGCCACAAGGAGCTGGTTTCAAGACGAGTAATGCGAGCACGGATCCATCAGCTCTCCACGTCCGGGCAGCGTGAGGTGTGGCTGCCCAGCAGCTCCCCTCGTTTCTCCCAAAAGCGTTTGGTTTGGTTTTTGGTGGAGTCAATGCAAAGACCCGGTTTCTGAGATATTCCCTGTTTGAAAAAAGACGAGATTAACGCCAGATACCGATAGAGTGCCTACCCAAAACCGACGCTCAACCTGCTTAAAACCGATGGGCGCGATACTCCAGGCAATATTGTCCGTGCTCATGTAGAGACAGATCCAATGGTCGCAACAAGGGCCGACACTGCACCTCACCCAAGGTTCGTTTCCCGGTTCCATTTCCAGTGAGTACCACGGACCACAACCCCTCCACACGACCGTTGGAAGACCCTCCGCATGGTAAAGGTGCTGACACCCGCGAAAATCACCCAACTGAACAGGGCACGTAACCCTCTCAAGCGGTATGGGGACTCAAGGGCCCGGAGTGGAAGCATGAAGAATTCGCTGCGTTCCCGGCCGCTGGAGCAACCTGAACACAACGTGGAGGCCTCGAACGCTTTGGCTCGCCTGGAGCAGTTGTTTTTCTGTTCTTCCAAGCTCTCAAAGGGCATTGCTTGAGTTACACACTTAGTGCCTCTATGATTTACAGCAACTGTGTCCTCTTGCCCTGGAGCTGGTTCGCCCCGGTGTATACTTTCAGGGTTCCGTTCGTGTGATTGCAACACTGCTACTTAAAGAAGGTGAAGCAGGTTCTACCATGTCGTTAGGGCGAAAACCTTACTGGGCCCAAGCAATCTCACTCAACTTGTTCGTTCCTTTTGAAGACCTGTGAGTGGCTGACATGGCTATGAGGCTACGAGCATTGGAAAACGCCAAGGTTTATTCAGACTCCGCTGGCCTGGGGCCCGGGAGGTCGGCGAGACATCGCTCAAAGCGCAAGCCCCGACTCCCATGGGCGGAACTCAAGTCGCTAGGGCATGCAGATTGGCATGCTACGTCGGCGGAATCCTGTGGATCCATGGGTCCGGAGAAATAAAGAGAGCTCCCCAAGGTTCTTTGGGCCGCAGGCTTCCATTTTGGAGATGTGTGAGAGTGAAAGAGCGCTTACATGGGGCCTCATGGCGCTGGGGAGGCAGGATCCACAGGGCAGCTGTCCAGAGCCAGTGAATTGAGTCAATCGTGGAGCAAAGCGCTTCGACTGCTGGATTCTCGTGAGTGCTATGCCTTGAGCCAAGCGTTGCAAAGATGGTTGACCAACACCCCGCCTCAGTCAAAAGACCACAAACATCCGGACACTGTTTTCTTTGGTGTGTGTGTGTGTAGGTGGGCGGGCAAGCGGGCGGGCGGGGTGGGTGTGGGTGTGGGTGGGATGGGTGGGTGGGTGGATGAGTGATGGACTTTCATGAACCTACATAGGGTTGTGGACCAGTCATTGTGAGTTGGGATTCTCCAGCCGCCGAAGCTCGGAGACAGTTTTTTTGGCTTGCTGTTTCACCGGGGGCCAGATTGCTAGCATGATTGTAAGTCCCGCAAAAGGAAACATTTCTTTGAGTCCATGTTTGCCCTGGCCTACTTGACAGCCGCTTCACATGCGATTTGGTTTCCCATGATTTCCACAGCGCCTAAGAGATATTGTTTGGGGCCACCCTCTTTTACAGAGGGCTGGATTGAATGTACATTGAGTCCAGGTAAAAACAGCAGCGATGCAAGTGTGGGCGAAATGCACACAAATACAGTTTGGTATGATGCAGCAGCCTCAACAGCCTTTGGTCTTTCACGTACAAAGTAATACAGTTTGTTGCAGCCGCAAACCGTGACAAATCGGATCACCGGCCCATGTTGAGCCCTTGTCGCAGAGTGATAGGATAGTAAAGTGATGGAAGATAGTGAGAGCGAAAGAGTGCCAGCATGCCAACCCTTCCTTTTCTTTCTTGTCTAGTACCAAGCTTGGTATGTCACTCCTAAAACATGTCCATCTCTATCTCTCTGTTTCTCCTCCTTCTCACCCGCGAACGAAGGAAGCGAGATAGGGTGAGGAAAGAGATAGTCCCATCTCATCTCTAAACCATATGAGGGGATGGGGGATACATCATCTCTTTCTCCCAATCGTCCCATTCCTATGGATCTATATGTGAGCGATGGTGAGTATATAGTAGAGATTGCATATCTGATATCTCCGTTTCTTCATCCCATTGCTAGCGATTTAGTCTCTTCTTCATGCCTCTCTCCCACTTTTGAGTCTTGGAGTTTCTTTTGGGGGAGGGCTGAGTGCGCTGGCCAGTTCTTTCCAGCCTCCTCTGTCATCTCTTTTCCGTTCCTTCTGGGCTCCTTCGAAGCTCGATGGAAGTACCTCCAGTGGCGCGGTGTTTTTTTTTTTTTGGAGAGAGGTTTCCGTTTACGGTCACCCGAGAAGCATAGAGAGCCCTTTCCTTCCCATGGTCCTGGGGGCGTGGCTGTAAATTGAAATGTTTGCCACAAGACAAACCTGATATCCGGATCTGCAGAATCCAGGCTACTTGCTCAGTTGTACCCATATTCTTTACCTTGAGGGTCTAGGAGACCCAGCGATTCCGTTTCCCTGTAAGTGGCCAAGGGAAGCACTTAAAATCCAAGGTACGTTGCCTTTCTTTTTTTGTTTCTGGACCAACAAGGAGACGGATCGGGTTCCGAGCCATGGACACGAAACTATTCAGGCCCAAGCCCTGGAAACACCACGCGCAAAATCCGTGACGCGTCCCATTTTACTCTCCAAAAACGCGCTGCCCGCCGGGTGTTGGGGCCTTGGGAAGGACTGCAAGAGCAACACCAAGTTTTTCGAGTGGATGACCGAAGACGAGGCGCACAGGAGGAAGGCGCGATAGGTTTTTCCTCTTCTTTTTTTTTTTTGTTTTTTGCGTGGGGTGGTGAAAGCTGCTAAGACCCATTCGGGACTTGCAACCGTGATTTGGATTGACTTGCCCAGTGGATCCACTTCGAAACAGGGGTTAACCCATAGCCATATTGATATCCAGAGGAAATGGCAAACAATCCTGGTCACCTGTACTGGCAATTGGATCTTGTGGGTTGCGGTTCGGAATGGTCATGGACCCCTCAGGAACGTAAGGCGAGGATTCCTTGGGAAAGAACATGACCAGTATGAGTTCTGGTCGTAGGCCATGCTGACCATGTTCAAGTCACCTTCAATAGCTTCGTACTGTGGATGGACGAAATCCTGCACCTAAGAAACCCTGTAAGGATGACTCCCCTGTAAACACCAACAAACCATGGTTTCCAATACTTTCAAAGTGGTGCAGGATTTTGTCCATCCACAGTTGCGTTTGATTTGTTGACCAGCTTGGTGCCAACTTGACCACTCGACCAGGGCATGACAAGGGAAGCCTGAAGCTGAAGCTGTCGACCTGGCAGATGCTTTGCTTTGGCTTGTCTGCTCTTGGCCGTTTTGGGCTTCTCGTATTTGCTTGTTCGATTGCTTTTCTCTATTCGTCTATGTGCCGGCCTGCCCTGCTGGACGCACTGCCTGCTGGACGCCCTGCCTGCCTGCTGGACGTCCTGCCTGCCCGCCACCACCTGTGCAGTATTTAATTACCCTTCAAATCCCTTGATTTGTGAGCGCAAAACGGAGCAGACTGACAAACACAAGCCTGGTAGCTCTAAGTGCGTATCACAGCCAGGTGAAGCTGAAAGCGGAAGGCTCGGAGGAGGCGTGGCCGAGCAGTTCCACCAGGGTGGGACAATACATGGCTGTGAAATTTGACAGGGAACCTCCTCACAAGTGGTTGGTGGACATGAATCCCCACATAAGTCCTATTGAAATTCACGTCCGCATGATGTGAACACAAGGGGCCCTTAGTTCTGTTTGCATGCCCCTTGCTCCACGCGGCACAAGGGCGCCGAGTCCAAAAAGGGGGCCATAGTTTTGACCTCCCACAACAACTTCCCCCTAATCCTACAAACCCGTTTTAAGAACCCCTATAAACGTTTATTCATGTCGATACGCAGGCCGAGACGCCCGTCCACCAGTTATTTGTTCGCAGCTTACAGGGCGTGGCATATAGGGAAGGTGTCGAGGACTTTGACATCAGATCATCCCTAATTCGCTGTTTGGATTGTCTTGTTATTCTCTTGGAAGTCTTGTTTGAGGTAAACCTCAGTTGGTGGTTTGGATTGGTTTGGGGAGTTGAACCTTTGATAGAGGATTGACAAACTACCGAACCTCCAAACCACAAATCCAAATAGACAGTTTGAAGGAAGCTGATGAAAAGGGTTGATTCTAAAAGGAACCAGCATGATATCGTTTCCATTTGGAGGGGAGTATTAATTGTGCAACAATTTCTCACTCAGCGATGTGACACATTTTCAAGTCC